GTGAATGAACTAGAGCTTGGTGAGTTGAGTTCACTTATTCAAGGTCACTTGGTATTACGTGTCTAAGCACGGCTATATCCAGCCTGCCTGACCCGGACCTGGCTCTTAACCTCCCAGTGGGCATCCAACTTGAAGGCAACATCTCTGGCTCGACTACTAACCGCTCACCTGGGCCAGAGCTAAACTGTACACCCACTTTGCCCTCCAGCCCACCCCCTGTAGATGCCCAGAGGCTCCTCAATTCCACATGCCCATAAATGCGCCCTTACCCCCCACACACTCCTGCTTGTCCGCTGGTACCTGCCATTCTCAATGCCATTCACTAGGCTGTATGGGGCCTGAGAATCAGAAAAAGGCGCCTCTTCCCTTCGTGCAGACACAGGCCCAAACTGGCTTGCAGGGCCGGGTTAGTGGACACATGGCCTGCGTAGCCCAGCGCAAGGTCTCAGGCTCCACCACCTTCCAGCATGCTCAGAACAATACTGGAACTCGTCCTGGACTTCTCTGTTTCTCTCTCTTTCCTCCTCTCTCTCTCATCAAGCTCTCCCTATTTTGCTTTTCCAGGGGGTCTCCAAGGAACATGTCCCAGAAACTTTGTCATCCTTGTCTTCTGGAATAGCACCCCAGGGCAGAAGCCACTGGGCTCCCAGGTCATTTCCGAGAGAAAGGGAGGTGTGTCATCAGGACCAGGATGACGAAGCCCCCAAGAGCCTGGCCCCTATCAGTCGTGCTTGCAACCTAAGGTGTTCACGGACTTGGCCTCTGGGGCCACAGCGGGGAAGCACTGGAGGCCAGCTGCCTTTGAAGCCTACAGGAAGATGAGCAAGGTGCGGGCACAACCTGGGGGGCAGCGGGGGGGCGGGGTCCCTGGAACCATGCCGTGGGAAAGCCTTTGGTACAGCACTTAAGGGGGAAGAGCCCTGCTGAAGCTCAAGTTAAAAGCGCTCTGCTGATCCGCCCTTCCTATTGAGCGTGCAGCCACCAGATGGCAGCCAAGGCTCCAGGCAGACAGACAAGGCAGGTGGAGCATGGATGTTCAGGGAGGCTCATCACTGACCCCACGACCTTCAGAGAGCAGGAAAGAGCGAGTACGTGTGCGTGCATGTTTGCATGTGTTCTTCTGCACCTATGTGTGCTGAAGGGTATGGACAGAATACACCTGGACAAACAACTGGGCTTAGTGCCTTTCTTTGGGTTTCCTCACCACATCTGGGGCTTCCCTTCCCCTGAGTCCAGCCCTGTCTTGGGTGCTGGTGATGCAGAGGGAAGTGACCCCGTTCCTGCCCTCCGGGAGCTCCCGGGCCTGGCAAGTAAACAGAGCACAGAGATGGCTGGAATAGCCCAGAGGAAGGGCCAGCCCCGGGTGGGCAAGGAGCTTTCCCTGCACCTGGAGGGCTTTCTGGCCGTGGCAGGTGCGGTAACAGTGTACATTATCTCTGTCTCCCCCCAGCAGCCCTGCAGGGACAACCCAACAGAAGCAAGCCTACTGGCAAGCCAGTGGGGCAGCTGATAGGCTGGGCGGTCCACAAGCGGTGAGGAGCAGAGCTGGAATTTGAAGAAGACTCTGCATGATTCTCAAGCTCAAGCTCTTGGCCACTGCGTGCACTTCTGGAGACTGGAAATGGGGAGGAGAGCCAAGCTGGAGGGTCCAGGCCCCAAGCCAGACCTGGAGGAGAGGCAGATGCCTCCCACCCTGGTCCCAGAGCAAGTTCTGCTGGCTCCAACTATCTGACTCACCTGTGAACTCTGGTCCAAGGGGACAAGGCAGAGGGCGTGTGGCTGGGATCACCCCTGGAGTGCCACTCTGCACTCCCACCGCCCCCCCCGTACCCTAGGCTGGGGGAGCCATGTCTGTGAAGCTGTAGTCTTGATCTGATGGCTCCTTAAAGCAGTATTTCCGCTCAGGTTACTCTGAGCATAAGGGAAATCACCTTTTTTTTTCTTTTGAAGATTTTATTTATTTATTTGACAGAGAGACACAGTGAGAGAGGGAACACAAGCAGGGGGAGTGGGAGAGGGAGAAGCAGGCTCCCCGCTGAGCAGGGAGCCCGATGCGGGGCTCGATCCCAGGACCCCGGGATCATGACCTGAGCCGAAGGCAGACGCTTAACGACTGAGCCACCCAGGCGCCCCAAGGGAAATCGTCTTGAAAATCATTCCAGCCACCTGGCACTCTGTCCTATAACAGGTGACACTCGAGATAGAATTCCACAGCCCTTTTTTTGAAACCAACTCCAGGTTGGAAGTTCCTCTTGGAGTCTAACTGAAGTAAGCAGCACGGCACTCTACCTCCAACTCTGCAGTTCCTGGGCAGAGCCTTTAGTGCCTGTGTTTGGACGTAACCTATGATGTAACCCTGTGAAATTCACACGTTTTAGATAGAGAAGGAAAAAGAAAGGTGCGAGCCCTGTTCCAGGAAGCAGGAAGAGCAAGAATGTCCTCTAGCAGTAAGAGAATCTCCGGGCCCTATAGCCGGGGCCTGCGCAACCTGAGCATTCTGCCCGGAGAGCGGGTGGAGGGATCAGTGGGAGAGGATGCCACACGAAGAAGGGAGAGCGAAGGACTGTCCCCAGCCAAGGGACTGGCACGAGGCCGCTTGGGCAGGTGGGGCGCGCAGGGGAACCCACTGGACACAGAGAAAGATGCAAGGGGAGAGAGGAGATGGTGAGCACTAGCTCAGGTGGAGGGAGGAGGAGGAGGAGACTAGAAGATGGAGATAAAAACAGAGACCAAGAGGTGCACTCAGGGAGACAGTGATCCATAAAGGCTGGGAGAGCAAAGAAGGAGACAGGGACTGGGTGGGAGAAAAGGGCGGGGTGGGAGCAGGAAGTCGTGAAGGCCCACCAGCCATTTGGGGGTCCTTTTGGGCCAGCCCACAGGCTCCCGCGGCCGGTTCCCTCCCCCTGTCTGTCACTCAAGGAGATGAGAATCCCCTCCCCCCAGGGCTGGCGGGGGAGGGTCTCGCCTCCCCACCCCCCATGCCCCCCTCCCCCACCACCCCCGCCCCAGCCCAGAGGCTCCCTTCCCCAGGCCCCCTGATCGCTGCCCCCTTGGGACTGGCTGTGCAGCCCCGATAGATGGTGGGGGGCCCAGCTGGTGTGTTATCAGCCTCCTCCAGGAGCGAGCCTGAGCCACTCCGCGGCTGCCAGCCTGAGATTAGGCCCCGGAGGGTCATTAAGCACCGCCCTGGCCCGGGCCCAGCCTCCTTTCCCTCCCTCCTCTGGCCCGGCTGGCAGGTGGGAACAGGCGATAAGGACTGGGGGCTCTGGGGCCAGCAGCTCCATGCCCCCTGCTCCCTGCCAGGGCAGGAACATGGGGTGGGGGGAAGGTCAGTGCCAGCCCAGCATCTGCAAGGACCCCAGAGTTCCCACCATCCTGGTTCCTCCAGTGTGGAGAGAGGGCTGAGGAGGCTCCCCGAGAGGCCGAGGCGGGGGAGAGGGTGGCCTGCCCCGGGAACCAGGCGGGACAGCGACTGCCACCGGCCCCTGCTGGACAGCCTCACAGGTGAGAGAGGCCAAGGGATGGTGGCTCTGCTTTCTACCCTGGAGGGCGTGTGGGGCCAGACCTGAACCACCACCACCCCCCGCCCAGCCCCTCAGGGACAACTCGAGGCAGCAGTGGGAGGAAATGGAGGTTCGTGCAAGGAGAATCAGATCCAGGCAGCCAAAAAGGTTCAGACCAGGAGACCAGAAAAGGAAGAAGAGGGTGTTTGTGCCTTAGCAGAGGCCCTCCAGTAACCTCCATCCCTCCTCCAGTAAGTTAGAGGCTGGGCTGGCTGGCCCCCTGGCTCTGCCCTCTGGTCTAGTCAAGGAAGACTTCCTAGGGGAAGAGGAACCTTGGCATAGCCAAGAAAAAGGAATATGCAGAATTGGAACTGGCAGCAGTGGGTGAGAAGGCATCTGCCCACATAAGCACATCAACAGTTCACTGAGCTGAAGCTCAGAGAGGGGAGGCAATTTGTCCTGAGTCACACAGCAGACAAGGGTAGGCCTGGGGCAAAGACCCGGCCTTCCCTCTGCACAGGGCTCTTCCCTCTGCCGCAGGCTACAAACTAGACCTCAGTGTGGTAAGAAAGGCTAAATCAGATCTCAGATGGGGCCCCCCTGGAGCGTTTGTCTGAAACCCTCGAACAGCAGAGCGACGGCTACAGTGGGGAAGTGAGGGGGCCGTCACTGGTTGGGGCAGCTGACCGAGGGAGATCTTTGGGACAAGGTGGACTGCCTCCTTCCCTCTAGCCCCACTCCTCTGCACCTAGGAGTGCCCCTGGCTGGGTCTTTCTCAGCTTGTCACCCCAGATTCCGTCCCCAGAAGAATGACAGTCACAGGGATGGGGGCCTCCAGGGTCAGCCCCCGCCCACTGAGTATGCCTCCTCCCCACTCGCTCTCGCTTCATTCTCCCTGGGACCCAGTTCCCTGATTCCACCCCCACCCCCAACCCCCAGGACCAGGAATCAGGGGCACTGGTGAGGGTGATTCTACTCCAGCTTTGCAGTGAAACTGGCCAAAGCCTCCCCAGAGGGGAAGCTGAGTTCAGAGAGGACTGTGACTCTCCCAAAGTCACATAATAAGTCTGCAGGGGACAGGGACTCAAAGGCGGGCTTCGTGAGTCCTAGCCCAAGCTCTGTCTCAGAACTTCTTATGCTCAAAGGCCAGCCGAGGCAGGCTAGAGCTGCCTGGGTAAGGGTTGCGTGAACCACCTACAAAGCCAGGCAGCATAGAGGATAGGGAGGGGTATCAGGACTGAACAAGGAAGGGCCCAGAATCACAGCTGTTAAGGGTAGGTCAGGGGAGGGGCACTGGCAGGAGGGCCTCTGCCTGGAACAGGGGGTAGGGTGGGTGAGCTCCCTGGCCCCATCGGGCTCCCAGAGAGGGTGTCCTGGGTAATCCCCCAGAGCTACCATGACAGTAGCTTTGGAAGGTGATTGTCATGATTCAGAAAGCAAGACTGGGCCTGGCTGTAAGCCTGAGGGGCTGTTTCTGAGCCCTGGGAACATCAGGCCTGGAAATACAGAACATCTTTATTTCACAGAAATGAGAGCCATTTCCACAGTTAGAGGGAGAGGATGTGAGGCAAGGTGGGAGGTGATGAGCTGACTGTCCTCTTCGGAAGGGTCTTCTGAATTGAATTGGGTGGGAGACCTGACAGGAAACCCTAGGGCCACAGCTGAGCCCCAACCTGGACACAGCCCTGGCTTTGGCTGGTGACAGTTCAAGGGAAGGTGGGCAGTGTAGGGTTGGAAGAGTTGGCCCCTTACTGTAGGTTCCTGCACAGAGAAGGAGCGGCTTGGGTGGTGAGTCGGGTATCCATCACAGGCACCTGGGGTCAGGGCTGGGGGCCACACGCAAGTAGGGGTCACATGGGGGTGCTCCGGACCTTGCCCTCCTCCTCGGGGACATTCTCATAGGCATTCTCGTGCTCACTGGAGCTGAAAGAGGATGACAGGGGTCATCACCCCCTCCATGCCATCCCCTTCACCCTGCTCTATGCTACACCTGTGAGGGCAGGATCTTCCAGAATAAATATACTTGAGTGCCAGAAGGGAGTTCCCCTACCCATGTCTGGTTCCAGGTGCACCTGTGACTGGAGGCCTCTCAGCACCCCTCCCCTCCCTGAGCCCCATCTCTCTCCTATGCTGAGCCCCTCCCCCACTGGAGCCCCACCGAACAATCCCCTCATGGAGCCCATCTCCCCACTGAGCTGCCTCCCCCACTTATCCCTCTCCACACATTGAGTCCCCTTCCCTCCTTGAGTCCCTTTGCCCCACTGCACCTCTCCACCCCTCCGTATGAGTCCCAGTCGGCTGGCTGAGCTGCTCCCCCACCAGTCCCATCCCCTTACTGGGCCCTCTCCCCAGCTGAGCTGGTGGTCCCCCAGGAGCCCTGCGTCCTCACAAAGCCCCCACCGCATCCTCCCTCAGCTCCTCTCTTCACTGAGCCCTTCCCAACATGAGTCCTCCTCTTTCCCTGCCCTCCCCCCACCTTCCACCCCCACCTCTCAGAAGCACCGGGTCCTTCTGGAGCACAGGGTGGTTGGCCCTGTGCTGGCCCCTCACCTGAAGCCAGCCGCCATCGAGGAGTACCTTCCGTCTGTTCCTACCAGGATTCCGTCTGCCTTGTTTCCAGCGGTCATGACCATGTTCATGGGCTCCCTGTGGACGAGGCTCATCAGTAGGGCTCCTCAGGTCCCTACCCTCTTTGTTCTGCCTCCTCCCCCTTGTCCAGTCAGGCTCTGTTCTAGACACTGGTTCTCACAAGCCCAGGGGCAGAGGCTGGCCCTCGCCAGAAGCCCCTCTCTCCAGCCAGGCCCCTGTCAGTGGTCTGATTCTGGCCCTTCCTGCTCCAAGGTGGGGGCCTCAGGTCCCGGCCTGAGATTTGCAAAAGATTTATCCAAGACCTCTCCCCGACCATGGCCCGGCCTCTCTCTGCGGTTCTCCTCTGGCCTCAGCTCAAGACCCAACGGGATTTGGTGTCTGCCCCAGATGTCTACACGGCTTTCCCCGGCACCGGGTGCAGACATCCACTCAAGGCACAGCCTGGGTCAGTTGAAAAAGGAAGCATTTCTGACAAAAAGCTCCTGGCCTCTTATTCAAGTTTAAACCCAGTGAGTGTGGCCTCTGCCCCCGCCGACCCGGAAGCCGCTCATCCCTGTCCTTCCTTCCTCCTGCTCACTGCTGACCCCCTCCACCAACTTCTGGGGATCCGCGCCCTAGACAGCTCTCAGACGTGTCCCCCCCCCCATTCCCTCTGCTGCCTCCAGAGGCCAGACTCTCTCCTGACCTCATGCTCAGCGCCCCTCATTGCCCTTCTTGCCTGCCCCTACCCCACGCGCGCAGCCCGGGGCCACCAGAGTCCTTCTGCTCAGGCCTCCTCTCATCCCAAGACCAGCATACAAGCTTTCACTGGATTCCTATTGCAAGAAGGATAAAGCCTGAAGTTCGGGGCGCAGGTGTATGGGGTCTGCTGGGCCCCGGTCCTGCCTACCTCGCCAGTCTCTCTCAGGTCCTCTCTATGCCTCTCTCTACCCATGAATGCTTGTGCTCCCTCACTGGGCCGCGCGGGGCCTCGGCTGGCGCCCAGGCACCAGTCCCCCTTTGTGAGAGCTAGCGGCAGGTGCGGCCTGCCCCAGGGTTGGGGGGCACAGAGTGGACTGCATTTCAGCCCAGTCCCCTCGACCTAGGACCCCCGGTGTCCTCACTGCCCCCTCCCATCAGCCGCAATGCTTTGCCCATGCTGCTCTCTCCTGAGACCAGCTCCTCCACACTCATCAGCCCCCAGAATAAACGTGTACTCAAAGGCCTTCTCAGACTACGGGCTCTGGGCCCCCAGACGGAGCAGGCCCAGCACTGCCCTCTGCACTCCCTTTTACCGTCGAGTCCGTACTTGGCACGGTGACTGCCCCTTGCTTTCCGGCCTGGGAGCCTGGGGGCGCCGGGCCTGTGTCTGTCCCGCGGACCCCCTGGGGCCCCAGCATGTGGCACGGCGCCTGGCCCTGAAGAAAGATGGAATCTTCTTTCCCAGAGGTTTTCCCAGCCCCCATCACAGGCGGGGCCAGTGTCCTGACGCTACAGAGAGAGCCACTGAGACCTCAGGGAGGGAAGCTTGCCAGGAACGAGCACAGGAGCTGTGGGGACCAACAGAGCCCCGTCTGGCAGCCTCAGAGCCTCAGCTCCAGTCGCGGAGATCTTCGGCCTCGATGTCACTTCCACACAGTGACAGCACTGGACGCTGGGCTTCCGGGGCCCTTCTCACCACGACCGGAGCGGTAGCTCGGGCCCGGGGCTTGCCCAGCCCGCACCAGCCCAGACCCCGCGCCCCCGGGTGGCACTCACGGCTCTTCCTGGCACCAGAAGCGGTTGACGGCAAAGGCGATTGCGACCAGCACCAGGAACACAGCCACAGCGATTAGGCCCTGCATCCAGGGCTGCAGTGTCCCCAGGTCTGGAAAGAGGGGAGCGGGGTGCTGCAGCAGGCTCCGCCGCAGTGGGGGCTGCAAGCACAGAACCGGGGAGGGAGGAACCTCGGAGCTAGAGCCTGTGTCGGAGGCCATCAGCCGGCCGCCGGGACCAGAGGAGACATGCTGGGGCAGCCAACGTGGCAAGGAGGACCCACCTGAACCCCTCACTGAGCTTAGAGAGGGATGACAGTTGGAAAATGGGAATTCAAGAAAGGAATGAGGTGCCAAGGAGAGACAGCCCTGAGCCCCTGCCCACCCTCCACGTGGGTCACATGCAGGGCCCCCTACAGAGTGTCTGGGCCGCAGGGACCAAAGGGCAGCTCTCTGGACAGCTGGCCTGGGCCCTGCCAGCCGAGGTTGTCTCCCCTTCTCTCCAGCTCCCAGAAGGCAGGCGCAGCCAGAGCTGATAAGAGTGGGCTGGCATCTGGAAGATCCTGTTTTGTAATGAGGTTTCTCTGGTACTGGTAGGGCGTGGGAGTATAGGACAAGCAAGGCTGCTTTTGCTAGGGGTGCCTGGAGAGAGGGGTGCCCGGAGAGAGGGGTGGGACAGAACACCTTTGGAAAAGCAAGGCAGAAGGGCAAGTTCTCCTCCAGGTCGTGGGACCAGAAGAAAGCTTCAAAACCTGAGCCCCTTTTATCTCCTCCAGCTGGGTGCCTACAGGACTAGGCCAGAGACCAGCTTGAGGCCCCCCCCATTCATCATCTTCTTTACCTTTTGACCCTTGACCTTTGACTCCACCTTCAACCCTCAAGGTTTCCCAAAAATCTCCGCTCTCGGCCACAGGCAGCCCCAAAGGGCTCTCCCCTCCCCCAGGCATCACTGTGCTCCATGAGCCTGAAAGAGCTTAAACCTGCAGAGAATAGACACGCAGTAGCAGGCGGGTCTCAGGAGGGGACAGAGGCCAACAGGAGGCTCCCAGAGGGTCTTGTTTTCAAGCCAAAACACACGCATCCCTAGTGCCATCCTGTATTTTGAGGGGCCCAGCCTGGGCATCAAAAACCTCATTCTGCCTCATTCTCACTCAAAAGTCCTTCCTTGAGTCTACCCTAAAGCTCTCCTGCTGCAGTGAAGGCCCTGCCCCTTCTCTGAGCTCTCTCTGAGCCTGCCACGTATAGGGAAGAGGGGAGGGATCTGGGAACTCTGGCCTGGGGCCAGATCAGTGTGGTTACCCTGAGCTCCTTACCTGCCAACAAGCAGTGCTTTGGACTCACTGTTTCCCCAAGAAACAATGGATCAGACCCATTGTTTCCTCGGTCCGTGGTTTACTCAAGGATGGGGAGTTAGGGCTCAAACCCTGGGAGGCCCCTCCCTGCCTCCTCCAGACCCTGCAGCCAACTCCTTCCAGGCACCCAGGGAAACTGGGTCCCTGCTCCTCCGTCCATGGTCCATGTGGCTGTGAAGTAAACATAGAGCACAAGGGCTCTGGGGGCAGGAGACAGGTGACCTGAGCCCTGTCCCTGAAAGACTGCAAGTCCCTCCATGGTGATCTCAAACTTTCACATTGATGAAGTTCTTTCCGGCTTATCTCTTAACTCGGGCAAAAGGCCTTGGAGGGCAAAGCCTGTGCTGCTGGAAACCCAAACTCCCCCTTCAGGCAAGAAGGATTGCCCTGAGCCAGCGAGACCCCAAGACAAAGATTGACCTGACCTTCACTGCCCACCTGCATGGACCTGCCTACTTTTGCTCCCCAGTTTTCTTATATAAACCTGGAAGTATTTTCGGCACTTTGGAGACAGTCCTGGAGACGCTAGTCCGCTGTCTTCCCGGCGATGGCCTCCCTGAAATAAACCTTTTCTTGTTTCACTGCCTTTGGATTTTGTCAGGGGCCAGGGGCCGGCCGAACATGGTCTGTGGGGGGCCCCCGGAGCCGGGGGCTCGTGCACCCAGCTATACCCCTTCTTGCTCTGCTGTGTGATCCGCACAAGTTACCCCACCCCTCTGATCTGCGATTTCCAAGAGGGCTTCAGAGACTGGGAGGCAGAGGTGAAGTAGACCTGCGTGCCAGCTCAGGGCCCCTGCAAAGGAGGGGTACCCTGGGAGCATCTCTGCCAGTCCCCTCTGGACCCAAATCCCACCTGCAGAGCCCCCAGACTTGGGCTGCAGGGCAGACGGCGGATCTCGGGGTGTGGCGCCTCGCTGGTGTGCAGCTTTCCCACGCCCTCACCTGGCAGCAGCCCTGGGAGGTTGGCAGGGCGGCTTTATTGTCCTCATTTTATGGATGAGAAAACTGAGTCTCACAAAGGGGCAGTGATTTTCTCCTGGCCGCACAGCAAGACTGAGGCAGAGTGGGACAAGAGCTCAGATTTGTGGAGGGGGCCACCCTGGGGCACTGTCCCCTACCGGAGCCCAGGAAGCTGAAACAATGAGGACTTAGGCCAGAGACATGGGCACAGCCCAATAGCGCAGCCCCTCCCCTGGGACAAGCCGGCCATATGAGGGGCACCTTGGGCCCGCTCCCTCCTTCCTTGTAGCCCCTGAACCCCTATCCTTGGGACCCCACCGTCTCTCGGGCAATTCCTGCTCCTAGAGCTTGGGCCTCACTACTCTAGGTCTCCAGTCCAAGTCTCTACATTTCCCCTGCTGCCCACATTCCTCACTCCTAGAAAACAAGTCCCAGACAGAAGCCTTGCTCAGAGGTCTCTGCCCTTGGAGGTTCCTCCAGCGAGCCCAGTCCCTGCTGCTTCTTCCCAACTGTAGGTGTCCAGGGTGGTGAGGGAGGCCAGATGACCACCCCATCCACCCCTGGGTTACCAGCACCCAGCCCAGCCCCCCTCACCACAGCCCCCAGCCCTGGACTACCTTGTTGACACCTGGTAGGTGGCACTGCGGTGAACAGGACCACAAGGAGCAGGATGAGGGCCGACATGGCTGCAGGCAGCTTCTAGGCCTTTTCCCTGGCTGCTGGTATCTGGGCTCCTGGGGCTGCTATGGGGTCTGTCAGTGTCTGCCTGAGATCCGCCTGGGCTCAGTCTGGCCCTGGAGGAGAGGAGCTAGTAAGGAAAAAGGCGAGGGAGGAAGGAAGGGAGGTGGAGAGAAACTGCCCTCCCTCCCATGGTAATGAGCTTCCAGGCCTGGCCTCCCAGGTCGATGCCCTGCCCACTCGAGCGGGCATTCGAGGTCGTCTTTCAAAGGCTGGACAAGAAAGCAGGTCTACAGACTGGGGAGATGTGAGGAGAGTTGGTGCCTCACCTCCAAGCCCCAGCCTCCCCAGTTTTTGTGTCAGCTCTCCCCCTTCCCGGCAGCGGGGCTGGGCTCTCAGGAGAGGAGTGACACATTATTGCTCCTGTGGGCGGGGTGTCTCGGAAGGCTGACTGTGGGATTAAGAAATCCCCTGTCTGCTGGGAGCTTGGGGAAAACCCCAGAGGCTAGGGAAAGGTCCAGGCTGACCCTCCCCCACGGCCCAGCCCATTTCCTGTTCTTCCCCTCACCTGTCCCTCCTCAGCCAGGCCAGACCATGGGGCTCCTGTCCCTCCATCCCTGGCTTAGCTCGGTAGCTCTATAATCTACCCTCTCCCGTGGGGATCATGACAGAGGGCCTGAGGGGCTCCATCCACAGCCTTCCCTACCCCGCCCAGCTGCCCTGGTCCTGTTCAGCTTTCCTCTCGGCTCCAGATGGGGCTTCTGGAAGCTGGGTGGAAGCTCCCCAGGACAAGATCCAGTCTTGGTCAGAGGCCATTATACATACCTTCTGATCAACCTCCACCATCACAGGGAGACAAGTGGGTGAACACAGCCCTGCTGTAGAGGCAAAAACATCCCCAAGTGGAAGGTTCTAATCTGGGGCCCTGAACCCTTGGGCCCTCAAACCCCAGGATCACATGGAGTCCATCTGGTCCTCCAGCTCAGGAACTAAGAATGACCCAAGTACCTGTTGAGGCCCCGGGGCCAAGGGTCACGCTGGGTCTCCTTGCCTCACCCCTCTCCAGGAGTACAGGAAGCCAGAGATGTTGAGAGTCTGATTCTGCAGACACCAAGAAAGAAGGACCCAGCATCCTGGGGCAAAGTCTCCAAGATGGAGGGTCCCCAGACGTCAGGGCATACGCTGGAAGTCCCTCCACAGCCACCCTGCCCAGAAGCCACCAAGCTGCTGTTCAAAGGACCTTGTGGGCCACCCTTTCTATTGCAGGATGGTCCGGCCAGTGGCAGCGGTCAGGTGTCACGCCTCATCCCTGCTTCCTGTGTGTGCCCATTCGAGGGCAGCGTGCCTGCTGTCGTCCAAAGATGGGGTGCCTCTGGTGATCTAGGGGAACTTGGCTCAGACTTGAATGATACATATATGTATGTCCTATTCTTCCTCCCTAATCCCCAACTTGGTGTCCTCAGAATTTTCTGGCACAAAGTTTGGCTAGAGTAGGCACCATTCGTGTTAATGAACAGCCAGGGAATCACCGATCAGAATGCAAGGAATGGAGTTGAATTTAATAAACATCAAGATGCCTTCTTGGAGAGTTTTAAGCAGGGCAGTCACGTGGGCATATCTGCATTTGAGAAAACACCTCTGGCCCTAGGGTGGAGTGTGAGAGGGGAGGGCAAGGGCTGGAAAGGGAGATCAAGGGGGCCTGCCGCAGCAACCCCACACCCAGCGCCTTGGTGGCACAGGGCTGTGGCTGTGCATCTGAGCCCTAGTTAGGGGATGGAGTGGCCAGGACACAGCTTCTGGATGCAGTGACTGGCGGGGAGTGGCTGGACGGACAGGGAGTTGCTGAGGGTGAGGTCTGGTGCCTCAGAAGGGACTGGAGCGGGCGCCTGGGTGGCTCAGTTGGTTAAGCGACTGCCTTCGGCTCAGGTCATGATCCTGGAGTCCCGGGATTGAGTCCCGCATCGGGCTCCCTGCTCAGCGGGGAGTCTGCTTCTCCCTCTGGCCTTCCTCCCTCTTGTGCTCTCTGTCTCTCATTCTCTCTCTCTCAAATAAATAAATAAAATCTTTTTTTTTTTTTTAAGATTTTATTCATTTGAGAGAGAATGAGAGAGAGCACATGAGAGGGGGGAGGGTCAGAGGGAGAAGCAGACTCCCTGCCGAGCAGGGAGCCCGATGCGGGACTTGATCCTGGGACTCCAGGATCATGACCTGAGCCGAAGGCAGTCGCTTAACCAACTGAGCCACCCAGGCGCCCCAATAAATAAAATCTTTAAAAAAAAAAAAAAAAGAAGGGATTGGAGCAAGTTTCCAGAAGGGGTGGGGGAGATGGTGAGCTACGGGCGGCTCAGATGTATTATGCTTGTGGTGCCTGTGGACCCTCCAAAAGGAAACCTTAGGAAGGCAGCAGGATCTTGGGTCTGGAATAAAGAGCTAGCTCTGGGAGACCTGCGTGGCACAGCATTGGTAACTGAGGCAACAGGAATGTATGGTCTCCCTGGGGGGGGTCTATGATGTGTGTTGTGTGTACATGCGTGTGGTGGTGTGTGTGTGTGTGTGTGTGTGGCAAGAAGAGAGCAGGAGAAAGGAGAGAAGTGAGGGACCTGGACACAACCCCAGTGATAAGGGTCTTTAAAAAGGAAGAGGAGCAAGTTAGAGGAGGAGGAAGAAACCTCAGAAGAGTGAGATGTCCCAGAAACCCAGGAAGGAGAGATCCAATTTGAGCTGGGTCACAACAGTGACCCCCCACAAAGTAGCCCAGCCTCTCCCATCAGTCCCTGGTATCAGGTCCTGACTCCCTTCCCCAAGCATCCCCCCTTCCCTAAAGAATACAGGGAAGGACAAGGACACCGGGGGCCATGTTTTGGGGTAGTAGGGGAGGGGGATGAGCAGGAAGGACATCAGGTGATCAACAGGAGGAAAACACACCTCCCAGGTCAAAGTCCCAAGCTTTAGAGCAAAACAAATTGTTCCGGAAAAGGGGGGTGTGGGTGGACACTTGGCTTTGAAGCTGGTCTCTGCTCTCTGGGCGTCCTCATCCAGCTGAGGGGGGCGGTCACCTCCCCAGCTGTATGGACATGGCCCTGGGTCCCCATGGTAACAAATTAGGCCCCCTGCTGCTCTGGTGTGGGCCAAGATCTAGACTCAAGCCTCAGGAGCTCCACAGGGCTGGACTCTGTGTCCTCATCTCTGAGCTGCTGCTCCACCAACACTCAGTTCCTCCCTCCTGGTCCCAGCCCAGCTCTGCCACCCCAAATCATCAGGTCCCCTTGGACAGGTCCTCCATCTAGCTAGACCTTGCGTGATTGATGACCTTTCAGAAAAGCCAAAGTGGGCCTAGACTTTCCAGGAGGGGCCTTTCTCCCAACCCCCACCTGCCTGCCATTACAGCTGTTGCCAGCAGGTGGCAGAGTCCAGCCCCGATCCCAGCCAGGTTGGGGAGGGACGGGAGGGGGCCGGTTTGGCGCTGAAGATTCTGCAACTTCCCCTCCCTCCAGCCCCCCACTTCCGCCCCCTTCCATGGGTGGTTTGGAGGAAGAGAGGGTGGACACTGACATGTAAACAGTCAGCCATGCTGGGAACAGTGCCCATGGCATGCTCAGGGCCGTGCTGTAGAGAAGCCCAGACGACTAAATTGTTAAGGAAGGCGTCCTAGAGGAGGCGATGCACGGGAAAAAAGTTAGCTGAATCGCTGGACCAAGCAGAAAAGACAGCTCCAGAAGGACATCCAGGCAGAGAGAGGACAAGCAGGGAGACAACATTGGAGAAGGGTGTTTAGAGCACAGAAACAAAAGCTTTTTTTCACTCATTCTCATAGTATTTCAATCTCATGAATGTCTTTGTGGCAAGCCTGAGAGCTCCGGGATACCTTGTTTTATTTATTCAAGCAGATCCTGCTGAAACCCTTTAAGGGCTTCCAACAGCTCTTAAGATAATATGCAAACTTCTTAGCATGGGCTTGAAGACCCCACAAGCTGCCCTTACGGCCCTCTCCAGCCTCATCTGGCCCCAGTGCCCCCTCTCTCTTCCTAAGAGCAGCCAAGCTCCTTCCCACATCAGGGCCACTAATCTTCCCCTCCTATTTGCCTGGCAGACTTCAACCCATCCTCCACGTCTTATCCTAAATGTCACTTTTCTCCAAGGGGCTTTCCTTGACCTCCTTTCTCCCCCATCTGAAGTCGCTCTTCTGAGTCTCCCCTGCTCATTTCTTCACAGCCATGATCACAAATGCAATTACATATTGACTTGTGTGCTTACTCGTTTAATGTCTGTCTCCCCAGAGAGAAGGCATCATGTCCATGTCACCCCCAGTACTCTAGTACTGGGCCCAGTACCTGAGCACACACCCAACAAATACTTTATGAAAGTAAGTCTCAGTAGATCCAGTGCCTACCTCTGGCCCGGCAGAGCCATTCCCTGGAGTTCAGGGAATGATTATTGAATAAAGCATTTTAGCTGTAGTTGCGTCCCTGTCTTTCTCTACTTTCAGGCTGTGAGGGCAGAGCCTGGGTCTGATTCATCCCTGTGTCACGTTGCTCAGAGAAGTTGGAGCTATCCAGCCTGGAATGAGAGCGAGCTCTCCATCCCTAGAGATGTGCAAGCAGAGGCCAAGAGCCAAGTCACCCAATGGGAGCATCTGCAAAAGGGGTTCTGGCCCTTCCACTTCTGGAAGCCTGTGATTCTGTGACTCTGTTAACACACTATGATGGATATTTACATTTTAATCAGGTTCTGAGGAGGTGGGCTGGTTGACTATGGTAAGACTCTCTCCTCTCAGACTCAGTACTTCTCTTACCTGGCTCCCCTTCACTTAGCACTCCCTTCACAAGGGCCCATGGGCAGAACTCAGGCGTTCATGAACTTGCACAGGGAAAACAGTACATCTGCATTTCACTAACCTCAAGCTGAAATTGACTGTTTTCTTTCTTTCTTTTTGTCTTTCTTTAAGATTTTATTTATTTGACACAGAAAAAGACAGCACAAGGTGGAGGGGGGCGGGGGAGGGAGAAGCAGACTCCCCCCTAAGCAGGGAGCCTGATGCCGGGCTTCATCCCAGGACCCTGGGATCACAACCTGAGCTGAAGGCAGACACTTAACCAACTAAGCCACCCAGGTGCCCTGAAATTGACCATTTTCTTTCATTAAGAATAAAGGCAACAGAGTCACCTGGCTGGCTCAGTTGGTGTGACTCTTGATCTCGGGGTTGTGAGTTTGAGCCCTATGTTGGGTGTAGAGCTTACTTAAAAATGAAAAAAAATTAAAAAAAAAAAAAAGAACGACGACAACAAACCACAGTCCCTTTGCGTTATTTCCACATCATCATACACCATTGGTGCAGACATCTGGAAACATCCCTTATGCTCATCACTGTGGAAGTACAGCAGTTCCTGGGACTCCACTTCCCCTAGATCTTAGCATTTAATACATTATAAAAATATACATAAGTTACCATATTGGAAACTTACATTTTTAATATTTTAATAACTACATTTCAATATAATTGGTTTCCTTTGATTTTACAC